GCCCCCGCCTCCGCACACCTCGCCCCGCGCTGCGAAACATAAAGCATAAGATAGGATAAAAGCACCAGTAGTGGCCAAAATTAAGAACAGTTTTTTTTTCATTCGTAGGTTAATTGATTGATATTCTGTCGACTGATATAGTCATTATTCGCATTAGTCTAGTGAATAGTTTTCAAGCCTGGGGTGGCGGTGTTCCACCCCCGCTGGATGGTGATATCCGGCGCCGCCCTACACGTTGGCTTGCTTGGGAAATCCCTCTCCAAATATCTCTTTTCAGCAGATTACGTTCCAGCCGTGACAAGCTCAGCTCCCGACTGTCCTCTCGATGTGTGTGGTATTGTAGTACGAGTGACTCTGTTAGGGGAGGATAGGGCAAGGAAGCGGAAGGCAGCGAGTACCCATCTTTCGGCCACCATTACTCTTTCATTACTTCTCACCAAGAATTCCAGTTCACAGTACGTCATCACGTGACCGCTCCCTTCTGCCAGTAACTATTTCTACTCCAGACAGCGATTGAATTTGACCTAGCTGCCAAACTAGTATTGAAAATCCTGACACCGTCGGGACTGTTGATTGCTGTTAGTTGATACATTGAGCCAATTCTACCGGTACACCAATTAGAAACTTTTATAGTTGGAAATATATAATTTAAATAATTGATTTAAAAATTATAATTTTATAAAACATATTTTTTAATTAGTTGTACTTCGTTTTAGATTATTTATTTTAAAAAAATTATTAAAAATTTACATTTCAATTATTCGAATTACAAACAGAGACAGCCCCTAGAACAAAAAAGTATAAATCCAGTTGCTAAATTAAGAACAAAATACTCCAACATGAAAAACACTAGCTCCCAAAATAAGCGTACGATTATTTCCAAACTAAATTAACCCCTGTCGATGTAGCCCTCCAAAACTTCTCCAAACGTTTTCTTAAAGATGTTGGTACTAATAGTGTTGTATGTACTCTATGAGATGTCATGAACATCATATTGCTCTATTCTTTTTTGTTTTCAAAAATTACAAAAATGTAATTTTTTGACTTGTCTGACACGTCGTTAATATTTATATTTGCGGCAATTTTTTCACAATATTTTATTTATTAGTACATGTGCTTTAAATAATGCCATATAAAATTTCTCGAAAACTCCACAGTTTTCTGTGAAAACTAACTCAAAAATCCGTATTTTCAGAAACGGTCAAACGCCATTTTCTGAAAAACGGCTTCAAACTTTTCTTCAAACATTTCGAACGGATAGTGCTAATTGCACTCTTGAATATATCGTAAAGTTCATTTTGGGGTATTTTTTCAAAATTTACACATATGTATTTTTTTTAAGATCTCTCATGCCGTAATATGTACAATTCCTGGAAATTGTAAACTCTATTGTATGTATGAGTAAAAAGTGCTTCAAACTACTTCTAGGACGTTATTAAAAAACTGAAAAATTTTCTGTGAAAAAGAGCTTCAGATTTCAAATTTACAGTAGCACTTGAACGCCATTTTCGTAAAAACGATTCCAAACTTTCCAATAAAAATTGCCATTTATGATGAGGTTTTACTGTTCTTTAATATTCTGAAAATAATATTTTCTTTCTACAATTAAGAAACCGAAAAATTGAGAAAATAAAAAAGTATACTTTTGGCGGCAATTGATGGCAGCTGGCGAGAGTATTTGGCAAGTCAGAATATCTAGCCTAGACCAAAGGAAATAGAAAACTAATGCGGGAAAGTCTGTGCCATTCTGTTACACCACTTCTTAAGTATATTATTAATATATGTCATGTGCGAATTTACCTATATTTTTACAAAATAATACTTCAACTATTCAGCAATGGAATTTTTATATTTAATGTATGGGGTGATACCATCAGTATTGCCCCGGGTGCCACCAACTGTCGCTACGCCACTGGGCGCACGCTGCGTGCGTACCGACGAGGCGCAGCGCGAGGTGCGGCGCCGCCAGGAAGGCGCTGCCGGCGGCGGCGCGGGCGGCGAGCACGGCCCCCAGGTGCGCGGCGGGCGGCAGCGTGGCCACGGCGCCCGCCAGCCCCGCGCCCAGCGCTCCCAGCAGCGCCCACAGGCGCCCCCACCTGCAACACCCCACGTCACGCACCCGCGTCCTCTTGCTCTTACGCAATGCGCCCGCTCTTCTTTCGTTCACTTTTAATGTAATGCCTTTGTCGTAAGAAGAAGAAAAAGAAACAAAAGCACCTGCAAAACTGTGTGTAGTGTAGGTAGTAGTAGTAGTAGTAGTAGTAGTAGTAGTAGTAGTAGTAGTAGTAGTAGTAGTAGTATTAGGAACCGTGTGTGGTCTACCACACCACACAATACCTTGTTCTACCAGGGGAATTCACCCCCGGGGTGGGCTCCTAAGTTTTTCGCCTATATCCGCACACCACACTCCCTCGGCGCCGGCGTCCCACCAGAACGCAGTTTTCCTTTACGGTAACATTCCCATTCAATGCTTGGTTTGGCTGTCCTGTCAGCTTAGATGCAGGATGGCCTCCGATCTGGCAGGCTTTCCAGACCGGAGCCACATTCGAAACAATGCGCTGGGACAAGTCCCTCCTCTATACGCAGAGTACAGGGCCACTACCACGCAAAGCCAAGAGTTTAACTCGCGGCCAACCTAACTAAGGCCCAGGTGGCCCTTTCCGTCTCCTCACTGCAATAACCTTTATTATACGTAGATACGCGATACTTTTATTCTACGTAGATATGCGATACCTAGGCAGCCTGACCGAGGGCTTCATGGTCGCCGTCTAGACTTGTATATGTTACCGGGCGAACTCGGCAACACGGAACTTAGCATTGCCTAATCACTGCCTCCACCTTGAAGTTAACGACGTGAGTGTCGCCGTGAAACCCAGGGTCCGGGTGGTTGTCTACAAGTCTCCACCAGAAACCATGCCCGCTTCTGCGGCCATGATTCCCCTCTGCGAGGGTGGGGAAGAGGTATAACAGCGCACGTTTCCTTCAGCTCCAGTACCTCTTTAATCGTACATCAGGGTCGGCAACATTTTTGTTACCGCGGACCACTTTGTCAAACCCCCAGTAGCTGGCTGACCGCACATACTCCAACTTACGTTATATTGAATATTTTATATTCTAAATTACAATTCAATAATTTCATTAGTACTACGTCAAAACGAGCTTGGGATCCACGTACAAAAAATAGCGAAGAAACACTTTAAGGGTTCCATAAGACAATACGAATACAACAGAGACAATAAATGCGAATACAAGAACTGTTCAAGAAATGCCAGTCAGTGCGATTTTGGGGCTTGTATTTTCGACACCAGCTTCAATGCCAAAAAATCCATGATTGTTTATTTTCGGTAGACTAATACTGTAGAGGCCATTCGAGCCGCTTGAGATAGCTTCATGGGCCAGGGGTTGCAGACCCATGGCGTACATAGTTGAATCAAGAATAAAGGTACCAACGAACATGGTTGACAACTGTTGAAAATTAAAAAGTTTCGCTACCGAGTAATAGAAAACTAATTTGCATCAGAATCACATATTTCATTTGAAATGTTGCTGACAAAATAGCCCACACCTCCAGCCCTACTCCTACCGCAACTAGCAAAAGAAGAACTCAAGAAAACGTGCGCATAGTGAATTACTAATAAAACATTAACGGGCTTAATAATTTTCTTTGATGACAAAGTGAGAACGTCGTATTCCCTTTAATTGTCACCATCCTCATTAAAAAGATGCAACGAACAAAGTACCTCAATCCGCCAATAAACGTGGCTTTCAATTAGAGATTATAACCCTCCCCTGATTAGTTTTGTGGACTGGGTAGGGTCCTGGTTATTCTTTGTGCGGAACTGTGACTTGTGCTATGTATTTGGACAAATAAATATAAATGTATGTATAATAATAGGAGTATGTATAATAATAGTAGGACTAATAAATGTATGTATGTATATCCTGGTATTTTGGCAACTGGTTTTTGGATACAGCTTTCTGTACTAAATATCCGGTATATTGGCAAAGTGATACAGACTTGGATACGGAATATTGTAATTTGGCGTAATGAACTTTGCTATTGTTACTACTTGCGACATTTCACTTCACCTATTGTTTAAAAATCTCATTATCTCCCGAATTGCCACATATGACGCAAAATATGCCGATATAAAATATTTTCTTTATATTTTCACCGTTCCAGGAATGTAATTTTGGGGTTTGAGGGACTAGCACGTTTAATAGTACGCCTTTAAGAAGAAATTAATATAAATCTCACGGGGTAAATTACGATGAGCATGAAAACCAGCGCGTCAATTCCTTGATATCCCACTGTCGTTGATTGGTTGTTTATGATTCCGGCGCGTCAATTTCTAAGGTCAGTTGTCCCGTAAGTATAGTTCATGTCTTTTCTCGAGTTGTGGCGTTGATCTTCCCCCGCTGGATGGTGAGATTCGGCGCCGACCTATCGTCGGCTAGTGGGGTTTTCCCCAACCAGGTGTCTTCCACGAACGGGGCACTACCCGAGCTCGGAGTTCTAAACTCCCAAACGGTCTTCCGGCATGTGTTGCAGTGTAATGCATGTTAGTGTGTGTGTGTGTGTGTGTGTGTGTGTGTGTGTGTGTAAGTAAGGTATGAAGATAGGGCAAGGAAGAGGACGGAAATATTGCGCGTGGTCCATGGCCCGTTTGTTAGGGTACTGTTCCGGCATTCGTCTGGTGTTGATCGGAGAAACCCCGGAAAACTACCGATCAGAGCAGCCGGCCACTAATATTCTCCTCCAAACAGCGACTGAATTGACCTAGCTGACAAGAAGTGTCGAAAATCCACGCCACATCATTCTGAAGCTGCAGTGATAACTGAATGATGAATACAAATTCCAACAAAATGAGGTTAGCAACATTTGAAAACTAGGCATTTTTGCTCCTGAGGTATAGAAAACGTATCAAAATTGGTAAAAGAACTACAGATGTGATTTTTTTAGTATTGCTAATTCTAAAATAGTAACCCATACTCCTGGCTCTACTCCCACTACAACTAACAATCTAGACTCTTACAGAGAGGTCGCAAACAGAATTGAGTGTGCGTGATAGTTGGCACCAACTGTAGGCGGTGCGGCTTCATCATGAGAGATTTCTTCTGAACTAGTTGTACAGTTTCTACGGAGAATACAGTTCTTGGATTGCTACGTAAGAACGTAGTGCGTGCATGCTTCACTGTTTCTTCCTCGACCATCGACCAGCCGGTTGATTTGTCTTTGCAAGTGCATCTCGTCGCAATGGTTTTATAACACCACTTTAAAATCAAGTAACCAATAGTGTGTCGGGTCACAAATCTTGAAAGGTACTGACGTAGAACAATCACGAAAGCTTTGGTGAAATTAAATTCTAGAACACTTCGTACTTTTGTGTCGAATGCCGTTTAAAGTTCCAATCAGTTCAAAGGATTTCGTTTGCAAGCAAAGTATTCCGTTTACAAGCAAAGTAGTATGAAATATGCATTTACTGTACCTAATCTAACTTATGTAATGAGAAGTGTCTTATGTGAATTTTGTTGTGGCATACCATGCTCGAAAATTGATATGCTCTACTTCGCCATGCACTTTGGCTGAGGTCTATCTCTGGGAGAACAAAATGAACCAGAATGAAGTTCCCAGACAGCTGTTCCCAGCGAAGGTGCGTAAGGACGCGCATGCAGTGCTGTAAAATGCGTAGAAGAGAAGGTACTTAATATTATTATTAAAAACACAAAATTGCTGTAGCATTCACTGAGAGCTTTACTTTTTTCAAAGATTCTATCGGCATGTGTTTTTTAATGTACTTCATTCTTAGGAAAATGACTTTATTTAATTTAAAAAAATGTCATTGCCACTTTCAGTCTCTCTGGTCTAGCATTCACGCACGTTCCTCGAAAATTAAGCCTTTAGTGTTTTCGTTTTTTTCCTCAATTTAAGTCATTCAGAAGTTTTGTAGTGTTGTGGCCTAACTGATTCTGAGAAAGGAAAACGGTCATCACTCCCGTTTCGACGAATAGGGTCCCAGACTTTCTGAATTATTGCGTGCTCTCGCCATCTTATAAAATAACCTCCCTCTGGTGCCCTATATAGGAAACGTTGATAAACAAGGCGCTTAATTGCGTTATTTACTGTTGTCAAGACAAAAGTTTCCACTTTCTAACAGCTGCCGTCTTCTGAGAAGACCAGAAGGAAGTGCCGTCCCGGCAGCCTAGCAAGGCAAGCTACTCTGCGGATCTTGGTGTTTACTGGAATGCAATTTGAAATTGTTTCCTTGATTTGCTGAGAGAGTAGTCTTTCATTCGCAAATAGGCTATCAGAGTAAAGGTGTGGTGAAAGTTAATACGAATATGTATTTTTAATACGCGAATCCTTTTTGGACATGCAGGTATTGCTCAGCGGTTTGGCAGCCAGTATTAGAATTTTTCATTTTCACGACCCCATAGGAAAGTACCACATCGTCTGATATACTTTAACATGAAATGCTGTCACCAGAAATCTTTTTCTACCATCCGTGTTTGACAGATATCATTTGACAGCTATCCTTAAGGGAAAATTAAAATACTTGAAAACAGATTAGCAAGGACAGACAGGAACTAGCAGAGAGCGCAATAGGAGTATCTTCATCTACATTTAATAAATCTACATTCGTACTACTTAGGACATTTTAGGAATGTTGTAGAATGTTTATTAACACGATAACTTTCTTCAATAATATTTCTTTTGTACCTTGATTTAAAAAAAAAAACGAAATTAGAAAGATATTCCACTCGTGAAATTGAAACCAAGTGTTTAACTATACATACAAAATGTCCCAATCAGGGCGACCTCCAAAATTTTATCGCTTTTTCTATTCGAGTTTTCTTATCGCTTCTCCGTTTTGACCAACCATAAAATGTGGCTCATCTGACTTAGGAGGCGGTATACATCGATCACTGAGTCGATGTCTAATAAACCGCGTATGTACTATATACCTCTTTGATTTTAACATAACCTCTTTGATTTTAACATAGATTTAAGTTATTTTCAATATTTGGCGCATTTTGGAACTCTTTTTGGACATAATTTCATTCGAGTAATTGTCTTATTAAATACCACTCGAGCTTTGGAAATTTTCAGATAAATCCCCTCTTTGCTTCGCGAGTCCGGGATTTATCGACAATTTCCAAAGAACTCTACGATAATGATTCATTATTTTTCTTTGTGTTATAATTTCGTTCAATTACCTCAAGCGTAGGAAACGAAATAATAATGGCATTTTGTTCAATTTTTTCCAATTTCATCCCTGGTAAAGTTCATCGATCATTTTGAAGGAGAAAGACTTTGTGTGTGTATTTATAATTTATTGGATTTATTTTCTAGTAAATACCCACCTTTGAGCGAGGAAAGACCACAGATATATTCCGACAATCGCGCTGATACAGAACGTGAAATGCACGACGTACGGCTTCCAGCCGTCGGAGCACACCCAGTTCAACTGAAAGCAAATGGAAGTTATTCAATTACAATTTCTATAGTACTAGCAGATCATTTTTCCAGTATAATAGGAATGATGTAATTTATGTTTGTGTGGGGCATATTTAATCGAATACTCTCATAGATCATTTGATTTTAGTAATTACCAAAAACGTTACCTTGATATCGCGCAAAATAACACTGCGAGAAGAATGGAATTAAGAATGGGTAATATAAAAGTATGGAGCGCTGCATGTTGGGGCGCCGACTTCACAGTTAAAATAATAACTTCACGTAGATCCAAAATAAATTATGGTTGAGTATTGTACGTCGCAGCCGACAAAAATATTAAGAAAACAAATCAACAATTCAGGTGACAGCTTAATCTGTAGTGTCTTCAGAAATAGCCGTACTAACTTTGCTGTGTGAAACTCTTAACGCTCTTAGAAAAACGCACAAGAAATTCTACTTTTGGGTACAAAACTAAAGTGGCAAGCAACACCTCAAGTAAATTTAACAAGTTCTTCAAGATATTCAGAAATATAACAAGTTTCTAAGCTTTAAAAAGAAATATTTACAAAGTCCCCGACTGTAAGAAAAATTGGTATTCTACAGAAATTAATGAATGATTCCCACTTTCAAATTATTAAAAATTCCTAAGAATTCTCCTTGGATAATGAATGATACCGAGGTAGCAACATCACATTCCAATACGGTACAGCTGACTTCCCATGCGATGTTGCTACTAATTTAACTTATGAACACCTTATTTCCAGGGCAGAGACAAGTCGATGTGATAAATGTCAAACGAAGTATATCGTTCAACATATCTGTGGGTGCCCGGAGCATGGAAACATAAAATGAAGCTTGCGGCAACGAGATACACAAGAAATATTAAGAGACAAACATAGTGCATAAGCTTCATTGTGAATTAAAAAGTAATAAATTTATTTAACTCAATATAATATTGTTAAAATAATGTAAGAGACGCTTACTTAACTATTCGAAGTTGTTGATATTTTCTTTTGTTTTTATCTGTTTTGAAACTATAATTCCACGTAGTACTCGTAACAGTGAACTATTGCATTTGGTAACTTTATTATGAATTATGAATTTTTGTAAATAATACTGCTAAATAAATGTGTATTGTATTATATATTTGCATCATTGCAATTGGAAATAACGTGAAATGTAAATGTTGCCAATTTCTAAAACTTGTATTGGGGTCGCTAATAACCAGTAGTAATTGATATGTCCATATTCTTTTAAATAAAAAAAGCGTTATATCACTACACCGCATTCCTCTTCATGAAATTTCTAATCCATCTAAAAAAATGATATTTCCTTTTAAAAATTGAAGAATGGTTCGATATCCCTGTAAATACGAGTATAACGAATTTTTACTATACGTCCAACTACATGTTCCGCTACGTAAAATAATAATTTTAGTATATTTAATCGATTAGAATATATTGGGGGCGGACACCAACTGTTTTGATGGGATGCTTGTATACAATATAGTACTTTGGCTCTGGATTGATCGAATAACAAATAATTAATAAATACCATTCAAACACGTAAAAGTTCGTAAACCGATAAATGTATAAAAATCGTGGAATCGAAAAAATAATTTTAAATACTAAATTAAAACACTGTCTTATTCTAAATAAAATTGAATACACTTTCGCAAAACATGTTTTCGTTATCAGTATACCGGTATATTGAAAGAAAATAGTAGTCCCTACAGTAGCATTTAATTCGCCATCGAAGAATTTACAAATAAAACATGTGATTTCATTAAAAAACGCTCAATAACTCTTTGCGTTTAGGAAAGATGCGTAAAATCGTGCCCCCGGCTCGCAAAGATCTGCATAAATCACTGCTCCGCCCGCAGAGGGCACAGGAAGCGCGGGCAATGGGACTTGATTGCCGGAACCGCGGCGTGCGTGAGCCTGGGCCGAGGCCAAGTTCATGGAAAGGAGGCGAACGGGGCGAGCAGGGTCGCGCGTGGCATACTGCCGTAATTAGCAAATGGAATAACTACTGCGCGGTCGTTAACACGGGAAGACTTAGCGTGTTTTGCTCTAGAATAGGATAGCATCCTCCTCGCTTGTTGTGGCGACTGATGTATGGGGATGAATGAATGTTAGCATCAATGTTTAACAAGTACTTGACACAAATTTCATTACGTGATGGTATGTTGATAAATTAGCTAATTGCCCCAAGCCCAAATGATCCCACCGTGTTTTACATTTTTAGCCACTATGATGCTAGGTGAAGTCCGAGAAATTATATTTTTGACTAAGAGTAATTGTCTTGCATCTCACGAGTATTTGAATAACAAGTGATGCTATAACAGCTCATACATTCTCGCATTAGTTTAAAATTGTCCAATTTTCGAAAATTCAGAGAGTTGAACGAAAATGCGACCTGCGTCATCCTTCAAAGAACTGCTCGTTTTTCAAAAAATTGTCCCCGGTCTTTTTTAAAGATCTGATTTTTAGATAAGTCTTTGTTTAAGACACAAATCTCTATCTTAAAAATTGTAGTTTTGCAATATTACCCTTTTTCAATTTTCAAAAATACGATTGCACTTCGCTGGAACATATAGAAGAATAATTTTTAAAAAAGTGGAGACTTTTCAAAAAAAATAACTGTTTAAAACTTGCCTACATTTGACGCAAAATTACCCGAAAATGACTCTTATTTTCGAAAATTGGACACGAAGTTTAAGATCTTTCAACAATAGATTTTATTAAGGAAAAAATCTGTATTTTCAATATTGTATTGGTATGTAGCTGTCGCAAAAAATTGAACTTGGATGGAAAATTGAGAAAATGTCAAAAAATGTCATTAGGCGGCAATAGATAGCAGCTAGGAAGAGGAGAGGGCAAAATTGGCAAGCTTGCCCAGACTGACGAGATTAGATAACTAACTATTACGACAAAGTGTGTGTCATTCTGTCGCACCATTTGTTTCTAAAATATTTAATACCAATTTTTTAATTTTTCTCGGCAGTTCTCCATTTTCTTCGCGAACCACAAAACTAACGTACAAAGACACCTTCATATGTGGAAATTAAGAAGAAATTTAAATCGAAAAGACTGTATTATAAGCTTTCAGTACTGTAAACTAATATTGTGGAAAAATACGACAGCAATTCAACAAGTTAATCGTTTTTTGTGGCTCATTATCCTGATTAATATAAATCTTTAAATTGTACACAGTTACCCGTATATCTGTTGTTTACTGATTGTTTTTTGATATTGCTGTTTCCTACACAGACGCCTCAGTATAAATGAAACAAGCTTCTAGGCTATATAGGAGAGATACGCGAAATCTCTTTACCGAACACCAGTGCATTATAAGTTTACTATCAATCACGGACAAAAAACACTGTTGAAACTTAGTTATATATTGATTGGCAAAAATTTATCATCATCAACTCACCCTACACGTCGTGCAAGAATGTAACATTTATTCTGAGACAACCTGTATAAGCGATAACTTTGAATAATTTCTTCTTTCTGTGATTGAAACATTCACGAGATAAATACTTTTTTTATCAGACGTGTCAAAATGCGCCGCGCTACTTGTCTGCCTGGAAAGCTTCGCATGGCGTCTCCAGCGGATATTTGCACATTTTATGCTATTCAAGTTCATAATAAAAAAACTAAACAAATTATAGTTGCCTATCTCGTTCATTTTTGGGCGTCGAATTTTACGAATATGTATCGACATATTTTGTATAAAATTTACATAAATTTCATTAAAAAATTAAATTTAATTATCGTCATTCGATGAATAATGTAACGATTCATGTTTTACCAGCAAGGCAGTATAGCAGTTCAGTGTTTTCTCACTGAAAGTGCTTTGAAATTCCCCAAAACACGTTTGTTCCAAAATTCACCTAGAATAATGTACAAATCTCTGACTAAAAATAGTCTCAATCGCCTCGTCCTGTCGAGAAGACTATTAGCATGAACTATTGATCACCTCATAAAAGCCATCCTCACCCTCTGCCTAAAACGTCTCTCTCCCAATTGTGGCCCGAAAGAGGTTCATCTATAAGGGACGGACGTATGGACAAGCGCAGGTTACCCGATTACCAATACCTTTTACCCAATACGATTTATTTATTTATTTACGTCAAAAACGGTTAAAGACTGTGTGTGACGTGATATGGGGAGAAGTTAATTTGAAGATATATTTATGTCCAGAAGCAAAAGAAGGGACCATCTCAGCATTTGCTCGAGGATCAGGAAAACTGGACGAAAACCTGATCGAGATGGAGGTCATTGACCCAGAAGCTGAAGTTCAATACTTGTTACAGGTTCTTTAGAATTATACAATCGAAATGGTACATAATACATTAAATATCATTGTTAAAATTAATATTACTTTTCTTTTGGATGCTCAGTGTAATCTCTAATTGTATATAAACAGTTGTGCAGCAGAAAAGATTTTACTTGGACTTAAATTTTTGTATCGAATTTAATAGTTTAATGCCATCGGGCAAGGTGTTGTAAAATAGTGTACATGTATTGTTTGTGAATTTTTTGTAGTGAGCTCTTGACACTGTCACCTGATGAATATGATTACAATGTCGAGTGTTGTTTTTATAGATATCAGCGTTTGCTGAAAATATATTCTCGCCCTTAAGTAAGTCATTTTTAACAAAATACACTGATTCATATATGAAGAGACAATGTAATGGTAAAATACCTAGATTAATAAAGAGAGGCTTACTAGAATCACCCGGGTGAGATTTACTTTTTATTCGTATAAATATTTTTTGTTATCTAAAAGTCTGGGAGCTATAAGATGTATTTCCCCAGAATATTATGCCATATCTCAAGCAGGAATGAACATTCGCAAAATTTACACAAGCAGTGTGTAGGCTGACTGAATTTGAAAGAATTCTGAAAGCATAGCATAAAAAACCTAATTTAGTGTTCAATTCATTTAAATTGACGGTCCATTTAAGGTTTGACTGCATTGAAAGATCTAAAAATTTTGTTA